TTTCTCCATGCCATCCAATCATGATCCAGTGATCAGAATGTTCCATCATCTTTTCATTGTTTTGAAATCCCACTGTTCTCCATGCTATCCAGTCATGATCCAGTGATCAGAATGTTCCATCATCTTTTCATCGTTTTGAAATCCCACTGTTCTCCATGCCATCCAATCATGATCCAGTGATCAGAATGTTCCATCATCTTTTCATTGTTTTGAAATCCCACTGTTCTCCATGCCATCCAGTCATGATCCAGTGATCAGAATGTTTCATTGTTTTTTCATTGTTTTGAAAATCCCACTGTTCTCCATGCCATCCAGTCATGATCCAGTAATCAGAATGTTCCATTGTCTTTTCATTGTTTTGAAAATCCCACTGTTCTCTATGTTATCCAGTCATGATCCAGTGTTCAGAATGCTCGATTGTTTTAAAATATGTCATATTTTCCGCAGGCAACATATTTCTGACGTCGGGTTCGGAGAATGACGTAGATTGCGAGAATGAAACAATGGAGCATGATGGATGCGACGAAATTAAAGTTCAAACGTATAAAATAGGGGATCTGGGACACGTCACCTCGATCAGTGAACCAAAAGTTGAAGAAGGAGATTGCAGATATTTACCAGCAGAAATACTCAGAGAGGTAGAACATAAGTAACAAGCTTTCATTGGTAGGAATGAAACTACCTGAAAAATATATAAGGAGAATTTCGACGTTCCGAGTGAAGGCCCTTCGTCTGGTGTTACTGAAGGGCCTTCGCTCGACACGTCGAATTTCTCCTTATATTTTTGAGGCAGTTTCATCCCTACCAACGAATGCTTGTTCATATCATTGGCACCACCTACACTTGGCACAGACGGTTCAAGAACACAAGTAAACCTTACGAGGCAGAAGATTGTGCTCATCTTAATTTAGGGATGTTCTACCAAAAATCTCGCATCTTATTCTTGTAGCAGATGGTGGTCAAGCCGCAGTTATCAGAATGAGAAAATAATCCTAATACTTTTCCTTTATGTTTTTGGCGGCAAATAAACAGAATGGAGAGATATGTACACATGTAAAAACTATCGCAAGTTGTAACAAACCTGCAGCAGACTTGTAGCAATACTGTTCCAACAACTTGTCAACAGTATGTGTTCGAACTACTTGTTCCCAGCTTGTTGACAACTTGCTACAAGGTTGCTGAGCTCAACAAACATGTTAGTTGTTACAAGTTGCGAGTGACAATCTTGTACCGACTTGATAAAATAACAACATTGTAACAACTTGTTGACAAGCCTGCTACAAGCCTGTTGATATTATCAGACTTGTTGCAAGGTTGTTCCAACAAGTCCTATACAGTCATGATATAACAATATTGTTAAAACCTTGTGTCGTCAACCAAGGTTGTAACATTCTTGTTATATCATGACCGTATCAGACTTGTTAGAAAAACCTTGTCACAAGTCCGATAATGCCATCAAGCTTGTTACAAGTTGTTAACAGCTTGTTCCAAACTTGTCACAACAACTGGGAACAAGCAGTGCGAACATAACTTGTGCACAGATTTGTAATAACTTGTTCGCTGCACGATAGCGAAACCTATTCAAGAATTAAAACATTTTCATATATTTTCTAGGATTACAGTAACCTGCCAAAAGCTGATGTATTCTCGCTTGCTCTGACTGCCTTACGAGCGGTAGGTTACACTTCCTTCCTCGTGTGAAGCCTGGTTCACACTATCAAAGTTTCTGTGATCACAGTAGGAATTTTGCATCGGTAGATTCTAAGTTTTGGAGGATTTGTAAGAAATGTTTGAGGGGACTGTCCCATTTTCATTGTTTATAACATTAACACCTGTTGCTTGTGATGTTACTCTGAGTGTATATCCACACCGGGCAGGCTTGAAAAATATGCCTGGCCAGGGTGGGAATCGACCTTTGGAATAACAGCCCAATGCTCTGCATACTGAGCTGCCGTGGCCAGGCATATTTTTCAAGCCTGCCCGGTGTGGAATGTGGATATACAGTACACTCAGAGTAACATCACAAGCATCGGACTTATTCACCTGAGTACACTACACCAACACAAAAAATATCATGATTATTAGACTACACTGATATCGAAGGAACGAGACTCAATTCCGAAATATCGCATACACGAACCAACCTGACCGCGTAGCTCAGTTGGCAGAGCATTGGGCTTGTATTCCAAATGTCGTAGGTTCGATTCCCACCTTGGCCAGGCATATTTTTCAAGCCTGCCCGGTGTGGATATACACTCAGAGTAACATCACAAGCATCTTATTCACCTGAGTACACAACACCAACACAGACAGCAAATATTAACACCTGTATTCCGAAAGCTCACTCACACTCAAAGAGTGGAGGTTCAATCAAGGTTGTCTTTTTATTAATGTTCTGATGAATGATTCTTTTTAAAGGGCGGTGTTCACGAGTTACCGAAGAACGGACAAAACTGGCATATGATCAGGTCAGATTGAAAATTATTTTCTCGCGGTAAATGTTCCCAGTTATACCGCCTGATAAGCAAACTTTTAGCTAGGGTCCTGAAAGAGGGCTCCAATTTTGGTATAACGATACATCTACAGTGAGGGGGGGGGGTCGAGAAAACGTTCCTCTGGAAAACCTTTGAAATTTATGTTACTTCATGTCAGTATCTGTTCCAAGCTCGTTCGAAATTTTTCAAACATACTTGGCTTTGTGAGTTTGTACCGCTATGCTTCTTTACTTAACTACGACATTTTCATTCAGCCAGGTACACCATCAGATTGATCAAAATGTCAAATGTATAATAAATTCCCCCAGAATTTGGGCGTCCAAAGGCGTCCACCTTTCGTTCTAGGGGCGTCCCAGGACGCCTGGACGCCCTTCTGGCTAAAAGCCTGCTGATAAGGAGAATGCTGGAATGCACTAGCATTGCTAGAATGCACTAGCAGTTAGCTCTAGTCACTTGCAGGTAACGCAGTTACCTCGGGATCCCAACATCTGACATCCATTGAGCTATTGAGCCAAGTCCGTCTGGTTTTGATAGCGATTTCTTATCCAATTTGAATGCACGAAATATTTTGAGTTTTAAATTTTACATCATTTCAGACAGGGAAAGTTACCATTTCTGACCCAATGTTCTCATGAGTTCAATAATCTGTTAATGGTGAGTTCTTTAGTTCCTATATTGCATGAGTGTATTTCAGGCCTTAAAATATCTTTTACAGGGCCGTCTGACAAAATGTCCCATGACTTTGAGTTTGGGTCGGATATATGTATGATGATGTCCGATGACCTTCAGTTCAGTTTGGCTCAGAAATAAGTCCGAATGACACAAATTAATATCAGCACAATGTCAATGTATTAATTCTGAACTAAATGTTGTGAAGATATTAAATAATTTGGGTCATTCATACTTATTTTCAAGCCAAAATTAACTTGCTTGCCAATAACAGACTTCGACAACTTAAGCCCCTTTTCCACTTCACCATTTCACTCACCTCCTCCATTACATCAAAACGTTTCCGGTTCACTTTTTATACATTACTCTGATTCTCCAATCTCCATTTAACATACGAGCCTCTAGTCCTGGACTAATGTACATCATTTTGATTTACGTCGGACAAAGCCACAGTTCGGTCGGACACCAATACACTCGGGTCGGACAAACAATAATTTTTTCCTTTTTGATTTCCTTTCTACATCGGACAATGTCCGTGAGCAGACCTGATATTTAAGGCCTGATATTTTGTTACAGTATTTACAAAATCAAATGTTCATGTTTTTGATATTTTTTGTTAAAATTCGTTTGTTGTTAGGTAATGATGGATGCTGATCCTGGATCCCGTCCTTCCTCGGCAGATTTAACAAAACATCAAGTACTCTATCCGTTTGCTAACAAGTCCAAGGTAGGCCGACTTCTGGTTTGAACTAAACTCACATTGATGCCATGCATGTTTGCTAAATGTTTCCGCTTTCTGTAGAATCAATTAAGAAAAGAGCTCAATGCAGAGAAATTCAAAAACGAAATTTTAACCAGGTGCGTCGCCCATCCGACCTACAAGTATTAGGGACCGGTCATTATTTATGGCGGGGGGGGTGGCGCCGAAGAGAAAAGGGTTGGGTAAACAAAATTTTGTGTGTGTAAGAGGTTGGGTAAATGAAAAACGAAACAATTCAAGGGTTGGGTAATGTATTGTCATTTCCAAAGCATGATTCGCTTAAATATTTGAAAACTAAAAAGCAATGATGTCAACAGTCGTATGTCAATACAATATGTAAATCAATCGCTATCTTGATCATTTTCCAATTTGTCAGGAGGCAAATGGTGTCTCCAAAGTAAGTACATGTGCAGACAACATGAAACTTCAGACTGAAAGATCTTGACAAGAATTTCAGACAATTTTGGCAAGTATGGCAAGATTGAATAATCTTGGCAAGATATTGGTAATATCTTGCCAAGATTAGTGTCTTGCCATGATCTTCCAAGATCATGCAAGATCTTACAAGATCTTGTCGAGCTCTTCAACCTGGGGACAACATGAAACTTTAGAATGCAGAAAATTGCATAAGCAGTTATCAAACTCGTGTCACAGAAGTGTTAAAGGACATGTGTGACAACTGAATGGTATCCTTTTGTAAAGTTTTTGGCCAGGGGTGAGCATCTATTATTAATTGATATTTAAGGTTGGTTAGAAAATTCAGTTTTGACTTATTAATAGTTGGATCAGAAACATTTTTGATGTTGATCAGAAAAACAGTTCTCTTCGGGTGCCACCCCCGCCATAAATGATGACCGGTACCTAATGTCTCTTTAATTGAGGCCATTTCCACAAAGGAAAATTTTCCGTAGAAAGAAAATTTTGTAAAATGTGAGAAATGTTTCTTGAGTGGAATTGGGCCTTACCAGAGACGAATTATATATAAGAAATCATTTGCCAAGCATTGGATGGCTTAGCAGTGCAAAGGAAATTCGCTAAGGCCAAAATGTTGACTATCCTTGTTTTATTTCCTCAGAGAACTGGAACAAACTCGAGCGGCGAATAAAATGAACAATGGAACCGGTCGTGCATCAAATGGGCGGTTGGTCGGTCATAAAGTTAGCCGTAGTATGAGCATGTCTGTAATTATGTAGTCTTCACTGCAGAAATTTTTAATCAAAGACTAATATTAGCTAATAAGTAAATAACAGGAATGACTAGTCTTAGATAGTTAGATTTACCACCTGAGATTCTTAGCCTCGCTAAAAATATTTCCGGCAAGTTATCTAACTTTCTAATGCATATTGTATATATATTTGCGAATTCGCTTTCATATTGTTCTGCCTTGTTTTGCTATCGATAACAAGCGCAAAATTTGTAAATACAGTACGATTTTAAAACGGTTTGTAGTTTGATATTTTAATAAAATGATCGGAGTTTATACATAGTGTTTGAACTTTGAATTTCTCTTGAAATACTGGTTGATTTGAATAGCCAGGCATGCACTTGAAAGCGTTTATAATAGTGACACGAAAAAATGCCCCAAGTGAGTAAAAACCTGACTAAAAACTCATTGTCGCCCTTGTTTTCAGCATTAAGGATTTTTGCTGCGATTTTAGTTGCGATTTTCTCCTTTTGGAGAATGTGAAGGAGTAGATTTCTTAATGATGATGTTATGAGATTTCGTAACCTGGAACATTTATAACTAATCTACTCCTTCATATCCTCCAAAAGGAGAAAATCGCAACTGAAACCGCAGCAAAAATCGCCCGTGTAAATGGGCCTTGACACACTGGACGCAGGGGCGCCGGAGCCACGCGGGCAGCTGCCCCCGTTGCCTAAACAGTGTGGGGGCAGCAGATTGCCTTTTTTACCAGAACTGCACTTCGAACGTCGTGCGTTTTTCACATGAATTGAAATTGAAAACTGTTTTTAAACAATTTAGCTCATATTTGAATCTGAATTCCTCTCAGAAACGTTACCAATCTGTTTCCACCTATGAAAAAAAGTAAAAAAGGAAGCCTTCCTAAATAACTCACAACTGTCATGTTGCTTTACAATACATTTTAGTCTTTAGTGTCATGCAACGAATAAAAATGTTCCAATCCATGCCGAAATTTGTCTGTATTAGTTGTATTAGCTACAAGTAATGAAGTATCCCTTATACAGCAAAATGTTAACGAACATTGTCCCCCCCCCCCCCAAAAAAAATAAGGCTGAAGAGTAAGTGCCATTTTTAAATGGCTGCCCCCGCCGCTTCATGTTGTTTCCGGCGCCCCTGACTGGACGCGATTTTTCAGTTCTTGAAAAACATAAAAAATAAAACATCCAATAAATAATAAAACATCCAATGAGAGCAAATTTTAAAAGATATGTATAACGCTTCTAAATATTTGGAAAATTTAAACCAGGATCAAAGTTTATATCGGTCAGTGAAATCCAACGAATTTGTCCTATCTTGCCCCCCGAATGTCATAAAATCACCCAAACATCCACTGCTAACCATAGTTTACCTCTATAAATACATTGATATCCCTCATTGCACATGAAAGTTCGCTGTTACCCATATTTATCCATTATGGTAGGCAAATATCCATATGATTCTATTAGTGTCCCTTGTTATACCAATATACCCATAGTCGATCCCATTATGTACTATATTAACCATTGAATGTCCTTGGTTACTAATATATATCAATGCAAGTCCATTGCTATCAATGTCAATCCAATAAAGTCCCCTATTATAGCAATATACCCCTCCTGATCTTACAATGTACTATAATGACCATCTGTGTCCATCGTTATCCACATATATCAATTTTAGTACCTCAATGCCCCTTGACAGCAAAAATACCCCATTTTATCCTATGAAGTACACGAATCACCTCCAAATAAACATGGCCGATTTTTCTCGATAGAATTGAAATTTTTAAAATTTTTTTCCTAGTTCGTTCTATATATTGTAGCCAAGAAATGCAAGCAAAAACATCGTGTAAAACCTCTCCTTTCGTTAATGGCGTCAAGTGATAAGTTTGTTTTAAGAGTTGTTTGTCGTAAGGGCGAGAATACTGACTGGAGAGTGCCTTGTCAAATTGCTTTTCGTGATGTTTTGGTAAGCCCAATTAATATCAATATAATTATAGCTCTTTTATTTTCATTTTTAAAATATTATTTATAGTTTATAGCCATGTATTTATATCATCATATTAAAACATAGTGTATGTCTATTGTACAGAATTTATGAAAAAATTGAGTGTTTATACTTTCTGTACTCTTTCCCAGTTGAGTAAAAGTACTGTCAAGTGACGATCAAGTGATAATTTGTATTTTTTGGACAAAGCTAGTACGCATATTGCCAGAAAGTTCTTTCTTTAATTTCTATCAATTGAGTTGGTAAATGAGTTTAAATAAATATTTTGTACATTGTCCAGTGTTTTGCAAAGTCATGTGTAGAATGTCTAGTATTAATTTTCTATTTTACTTTATAGGAAATAGTTTCCAAAGTTCATCCTGGCGTTACTACAACAGCATTTGAATGTAAGCTCACGAGGTTTTATATTATTGGTGTAATTGCATGTCAGCAGACCAGTGTATAAGCCAGGGTGCATTCCGTGTAAACTTCACGCCGAAGATAATCTGAGGTAGTGTTGCCGTGCGCCAAGTGAGGTCAACTTGTGCGCCGGCTGATTGTGGGCACCTTGATTTTTCATTAATAGCTATTGATTTTTCATTAATACTTGCTAAAAAGGCATGTAGTTGATGAATAAGATGTTTTGCTGATGAGCAATGATGAGTGTTGTTACTGTTGTATCACAAGTTATAACCACCATTTAGTAATATTACACTGACCAGGAACACAAATTTCTCGAGTCTCTAAACTTAAAGAATTATAGAGGCCAATCCAATCACCAGGCGATTATTAATACTCAAAGTCTCGCTTAAACATTTGATGCTGCGCCAACCACCAAAACTCAAAACTTGTGCGCCAACCTCGATGTGATTGTGCGCCAAGAATTCAAAACTCACGCCGAAGATCTTCCACAAAACCTGCATGGAATGCACTCTGGTGTATAAGTAAACATACTTGTCAGGCTCTGGTGTTGTACCTTAATCTGGTTAGGGGAATGTTGTGGTCTGTTATTTAAACTGCTCTCCGCCATGAACTCCTTTCTACTACAGTAAAAATAGGCTTTTCAATATTTGTTGGGAAAAGTGTCCCACAAAAATGAAATTTGATCGGAAACTTTCAAACTTGATCAGACAATCTTTCAATACACTCTTTCGATAATTATGCTACGCCATTTGGCCTGAGAGCCTCGCTGAGCCGATCACCTTGCATAATTTACTAATGAGAGCGAGGCTCCAAGACCAAAAGGTATGTGTGATGTAATTATCAAAAGGGCGTATTCCATTTTCATTTCATGCCTTTGTTAGTTAATATATAAATAATTATACTTTATGCCAAACACGCTGGCCAGTATGTATGTTATATATGTAAATATGCCAGTATAGTTAAATCTTGCACATTTAACGTTCTTTGCGGGTGGATTGCATGCAGCTTATGGTTAACCCAGTCTTTCAAGAAGGTTAATTGCTATTTCTTGTCTGGACAAAATGTCCGACCAATTTAACATTTGGTCGAACAGACTGTGATGTGGTCGGAAAATTTCAGATGTCCGACCAGTTTCGGGCTCTGATGGTACATTGTATTTTTAATTCTTTAGATGAGGATGAAGATGGAGACAGAATTACTGTACGAAGTGATGACGAATTAAAGGCCATGATTGATGTACGTTTTTAACCTTTGTTTAGAGTCAAAACTTGTCTCATACAGGTGTGGATCATCTGCAAGGAGGGTGCAGGTTTTCCATGGGATGGTGCATGGGGGAGCCTTACTGCCCACTCTCCTCTGCAGTCTGCAACGCTACTATCCCAACAGATTTTTTAGGATGGTGCTGGACTTCTCTACTAGGGGCATGCTAGACACCACCAGGTGAGGTGCACCCCCGCGGTAGATCAGCCCGTTCTCACATGTGACATGTGCAGACACACTCGCCAATTATGTGACGACACACACTTCCTGCCATGTAGTAAAAGTTGTATAATTTTTTGCTATTTCAGTACCACTGGTTGAGTCAAGATCCTATGACCAAAGCTTTGAATATTTATCCAAAAGGTATATAATTATGGTTAATTTAATATCAATGCCTAGCGTAATGTATATTGTAAATTACATTAAATTAAAATACAATGCTCATCACAAAATGAAATTTTTAAAAAATAGAAAGAAATCCTTAGTTGCAAGCGGCCGCAAACTGATAGTATTTAAAAGCTATCAGGAGCTGTCAAAGGTGTTTAAGTACATTTTCTTAACTTTTGAAATTTTCTTAGTATCCAGTCGGGATACAAGTACAGTTTGGTATCCTAAACCAAATTTTTGATTTCCCGTGGATATCGGGATACTGCAAATTTCAGACCCTGAGAAGATTATAACTGTCTGAGGATATTTCCAAAATATTTGACAGCTTGTAAGACACCAAGCAAGAGAAATTTTCATGGTCTAAAAGTAAGTTTATTTACTTAATGATATCTTGTTCTCTTTTCTAATTATTTAAATGTACGTATTTTTAACAATCGTGAACTAATTCAGGTTAACACGAAAGCTCCACCTGTTGCTGTCACAACCTCCAAGCCAAGCAGTTGCAAAAGTGTTCATGAGTAAGTATACAGGGTGTATAAAATAAAGCGACCCTTTAGAAATCACCATTCTGTTGTAAACACCCAAACTTCATTACTGCTGGGAGTTTAGAATGCATTGTAATCGTACGAGCACATTAAAACTGCATAAATTGTACATGAAAATTCTAACTGAAAGTTGACTCAGGTCGATTAAAAATGGTTTGACTGATTACAGAGCAAAGAGTTGGCAGCACTCTCCACTTGACGAGTAAAATTGTCTGGTGTTAGACAGAGTAAAATACTAAAGTAGGGCGCGCCAGGGTGCATTGCTACTTAAAGGGTTAAGAGGTTAACCCATTGAGTGGCAGCCTCTCTACTTGACGAGTAAAATTGTCTGGTGTTAGACAGTAAAATACTAAAGTTGGATGCATCAGGGTGCATTGCCACTTAAAGCAGGCCTGGCCGTTTGAGGCGCGCGATCGCGCGTGCGCGCCTCCGCACGCGCCTTGACTCCTTGAGACGCGCCTTTTAACACACGCCTCGTTTGTTTTAAGAGTATGAAATCGCGCGTCTGGTTTTTTTATTCAAAATGAATTTTTGCCGGAACTAATCCTCGCCATTTAGATTAGTTATAAAAGAATGACTGATTTAATGCTGATCAAAGGAATTGATAACTGTTGGTCGGCGAAGGAGCGTAAGGAAATCTCCTTACGCTCCTTCGCCGACCAGCAGTTATCAATTCCTTTGATCAGCATTAAATCAGTGCATTAGAATTTTACATGGAGAAAAGACGCAGAGCCAAACTCGACAGCAACACCGTGGATAAAGGAACTCTGTTAAAAAAGCGTATAATTGAGAAATACGCCATAACCATTGACGATAACGATGAGTCGTCAAGCTCGTTGGAAATCGAGTCATAGGCGATGTTGACATTTTCATTGATGTTTAAAGTACGATGACTTTGAAAACATCGTAAATACACGTACTCACTGGTACAAATTTTAAAACTGTTTTGTTCTACACAAATTTTTACCCAGTTTTGTGAATGTTATTCTAGTCTATATAGCCAATACGCGTAATTTTTACCATTTTTTTAATCGCGCGCCTGACGTTAATATGGCGCGCGATATGCCGCGCGCCTGCCCAAATACTTACTGCCAGGCCTGTTAAAGGGTTAAATTAATCAGCACATAATCATATATTCATATTCATATGTTGAACGATACCAAATACTTTTAAATAACTTCCCATGCATAACATTTGATTCAATTGTGTTTACACACCCATGGGTTCAGTATAGGACTCAGGAGTTCAAATTGTAACAAGGCGAATTTCTAACGGGTCACTTTTTTATGATGTACACCCTGTGCAGTGGTATGATATGGTGAATATTACGCTTGGTTCTTTCTTGTCCAGTTCTTATTAATTTTTTAATCATTTAGAAAGGTGCCTGCGCCTCCAGGAAGCCTGAGGACGATTTTAGCAAGTGGACAGGTATACATGATGTAAATATATATATATATGCACAAGAAAATAAGTAGCCGAATAGAAAATAAGTAGATCACACTCTTCCTCATTAACTAACGCAGTATGTTAATATCAGTATCATATAATATCCTGCATGTTTATTTTAGGTTTCTCACGAAGAACTTCAATATCTTGAAATATTGGGTCATGGCATTGGAGGCACTGTTTATAAGTATGATGTACACCAGTCTTTAATTCACAAGTCTCAGTGGCAGACACTAGGGTGCGAGGGTGAGAGGGGGCAACCCCCGCCTCCCAAATAACTTCAGAAAGCTTTTGAACGATAGCTGAATAACTATGTAGCGAAGATATAACAATAATTTTTCAATCTTGAAAGCATCAGGAGGCTAAAAATTCAGCTATATATTGCATGAAATATAAAAAAAAATCCTAAAGAACTATGATTTTCAGAGACTAAAGGTGCCTTCAAATTTTGCTGCTACAAAAATTTCCCCCCACCAACTTTTGCCCCCGTCCCAGACACAGCCTCCCCCTCTGTAAAGTCTCCATCTCTTGTGCCCTGATGTTTTTTTCACATTTGTAACTTTAGATGTTGTCACACCATGTCCCAAAAGACAATGGCTGTCAAGGTGATTGGCTAATTCATTTGTTTATTTGTTTACTATTCATTTGCACCTGTGTTGGAGAACCACTGTTCCTGTTTATAGTACTGTCTGTGTTTCTAAATTCACCGTCTCCATCAACTGTTATTCTTATGTTACTCTATTAACAATATATAATAATTCCTTACTGTACATTAACTTGCTGTATATTAAAATATAAATATTTGATTGTTTTAAATGTTTTTATTTTTCATAGGTTATACCTTTAGATTTGACTCCAGAAGTTCAAAAACAAATCTTGTTAGAATTGGATATTCTCTTTAAGGTTTGTCACTTGACCTAAACCTTACCTCATGGCCGGATTTTGAGGGGAGATGTGGGAGGTATGCACCTCCCCTGAGGCCTGAGATTGTTTTGCACCTCCCCTGAGAATTCATACACCTCCCCGTTTCAATGATAGATCAAAGTGAAAAATTGCACTTCGTAAGAACGGTTTCCTGTAAAATTGAAACAGTGATAGCCATTCATCTCTTTGTCAAGTACAGTACCCTGTTAATGCAATATTTTGAAAGAAACTTTGTAGTAATTGTAATGAAGGGCATAATTGGGTGAGTCGTACGGTCATGATTCATTAATACACTGATAGATATGTACACTACATGCATACGTGACGTCGTGACTTTGGCCCATTCTACAGTAAGCCCTAACTTTCCATGGGGGTTGTGAGCTAAGCCGCTGCACCTCCCCTA